CTTAACGGAACTCCTGGAATCAGCAGAAAATTTTCATTTTAGGTTAATTGTAATAAGATATACTGTTGTAATTCACATTCGAACTTTCTTCTGCAATGAAAAAAGTACTATTTTTGGGTTCTGTGACCCAGGTTCTATTGTAGGGGAACTTCCGGAGCTGGAATCTCCTCGAAGTCAACAACAATTTTCAACTCTTCCACACAGTGCCATTTCATGAGTCAGAGAGACATCACTTTATCATTTTTCCAACAAGTATCATTAGCAGCTGTGTGTCTAATGTAAAGTATATTTATTATTTTTGATTAGTGATCCGAGAAGATTCTGTTTCAGCTACTTTTCTCTACTCCTCATGATGAGTACAAATGGGACTTCCATTATGTCGAGGACATTGACACCCATCAGAGGACACCCACACCAATCTTATCCTTAGAAGATTCATTAATATTTGTCGTTGTTCATTTATCTGTCGAATCAGAAGACTCCATCCGCGAAAGTCCTCCCTCCCGTTAGCTCTGTATGACACAGAGTAACGGACTCTTTGAGGCGTCCTAAGTCGGTCGATTTATTTTCACCTTATTATCGAATTCCGGATCGGGTCGTTTTTTAATGAGCTAGACAATGGGTTTGCCTTTACCTGGCCCAGTAACGAAGGTGAGGTATGAATTAGGGAAAGTGCTTACTCAGATTATCGATTTTTATGAATGAACTTTATCCATCGGTGATGTCCTTAACCTCCTTAGAAGGAAAAACGTTGTAGATTATGAATGAACCGAAGAATGGAAGTTTCCAATTTTATTCTTTCTGTAATTATTATCAATAGTAATAGGATTCTAATATTTATGTAAAGAATTTTACCAAAAAGGATACATTCTTTTTTTCTTTGCTGACTTTTATTTCACTTACCTTATTAACTTCAAGCTCTTAAGTTACAAAAACATTACATCAATGACGTTTGAGTACAGTGAACACCTTGAAAATCCCTTTTCGATCTTCGAATTTTTATGTGTAATCCTAATTTTTTTTTTTTTGTTATGATCATACTTTAGACAAAGTCACTGTTAAATATCATTTTCTGGTTACAAAAATTATACATACTTACCTGTTTAAAAAAAAAAAAATAGAAACCTGGATAACCGCAGATATTGCTGATAAGTTTTTAATAATATAATAGTATATAAAAACCCTTATTTTACACATTATTTTTTTTATTAAGATATTGTTTTAGAAATTTAAACGTTTTTCGTATTATGTTTTATTCTATAATTTCGGTAACCTTCTATTTATGTAATTAATGTGATCAATTTCTGGTCTTTCATGTTCATTTGCTAGCTTATTTACATATAAATATATATATATGTGTAATGTTTAGCCTCTTGGTATACACTCAGTCTTCCATATACCGGTTACCTTATCCTACAGTGAGACAGATAAAGCCCAGTTGCAGTTTGATATTGTTGTTTCTAGTGCTGCAATACTCGATTTAGATCTCAGCTCTTCATATAAACAGGTATTCAATTCTGAATGATATCAAGACACTTCAAAACCATAACCTTATTTTTGTCTTCAGAATGGTATTCATGGTAACCCTTTATTTATTTATTTATTTTTTTTATACCCCACCTGGGAAAGGAAGGAAAAATTACCATACTTCTATACCCAAGGTCTTTTTCTAGATTTGCCATGAAATAAAAGTCAACTTCAACATTGCGGTATCGAACCTGCATCCAATTTTGTGCTGCACAAAATCCACCAAAACGTTCTCAAACCCATTCTATCTAATGCATTATATTTTCTTCACTTCCATTCATAGTCTACAATCATATCTTTAATCGAGATAAAGACATATTAATTATTTCAAAATGAATATTTTAATTCATTAAGAATTGTATCTCATCGCTGTTCATTGCCTCGTGTCACGAACGTTTCAAATTCAAATAAAATGTAGGTAGCTTGTCTCACTCATTCTAAAATTAAATATATTTCGGCATTTTTCTATTTTTCAAATAATATGTATATTCACTGTACAGTGGTTCGATACAAATTATTTCTACTTAAACTTTTTACAGCGACATTTTCATAATTTTTTTACTTAATCGTTTATCTCATCTTATTTCGTATTTGAGAGAAAACTATTCCTCTAAAATATCCATAATCAGTTTAATATTAGATACATGAATTTATTATATTGAGTTTAGTAATTAAACTCTTGTGATTTTTCGCATTGGTGGTATGGCCCGTGGTACAGACCCTTTTTTATAAAATTATTAATATCCCTCTGAAACTTCGTAAATTGCTTCAACTGATCGCAACGTAGGAGATATTATATTTATGAAAATTCTTGGAATTGGGGCGTTTTCAATCTGGAGATCGACAAACATTTTCTATATAGCTAGGTACTAAAAACTCATGATACCCATTTAATTTCCACTTGATTCGTAAGATAATATGACCACAAAGTTGAAAAAAAAAAGAAAAAAAAAGGAGGTCTACAGAAATATTGGTCCGTTTGGCGTGACCAACATGAAAAAGTTAAAATAACGAGGTTATATAGGCCAAACGTCCCAATATTTTGTAGGTCACCTTTTTTCCTGATTTTGTGATCATATTATCTTATAATTCAAGTGAAAAGCAAATGGGTATTCATATGTTTTAGTATATAATTAAATAGACAAATTTGCTAATATTCAGATTAAAAACGCCCCAATTCTGAGAAATTTAGTAAATAAAATATTTGTAAGTTACGATGAGATGTTAATAATTTGATAAAAATGGGTATATACCAAGCACTAGTAGTATTGCCTTTAATGGCAAATTTTTAAAAATTAAAGATAGTTCAGATTAACTATTACGTAATTTTATAATTTAACATTATTATTTATTATATATACATATATAACGATATACTTGTATTATATAGTCGTTTTCTAATCACTTAAAGTTGATTATATTTTATTACCTCTCATCCATTAACGGCAATCACAACAAAATTTTATTCAATAATGTTGTGCATGTTTTTTCTAAAGAGATTAAAGTTCTCCTATATTTAATGTTTTATTATGTTAATACATAAACGGAATTTATGCCTTTTTAAATTTTTTTTTTTGTTTTGTTACCCTCATCAGGTTTCTTTCTGCAGGTGGTAAAAATACATCACTAAATAAAAGAAAAATGTATTAATAATTTTTCGATTCGTTAGTATGTCATTTACCAGGTATAGATAGATTCACAAATTGGTATATAGTTTATTTATTTTGCAAAAAATATTTAACATTTAGAGTTTGCGTTAACTTAATAAGAGGTGCTTCAAACAACTTTCATTCTGCAATTGAGTAACCATTTTATCAATAGCTACAATATATCATGTTTAAATAATAATTCGACCATAGAGTATTTCTTTGAAACACATATTCTGCCCAAACTGTCATGACTGTATCTATGAATAACTTCAATTAATGACTGTTATTAATAATTAAAATTCTATTAAGTAATTTGACAAATGAATAGTGCATTAAGAAATAATATTAATTATCTGGAGTATATTTACTAAAATCACCTGCATTTTCTAATGTTTTCTTTGAAATATGACATTATTATAAAAAAAAAAAAAAAAAAAAAATTGTAATCTAAAACGCATTAAATATCGAATAAATACAAATTGTTTAATGATAATAACTAAAGGAATCAATGTTGCCAAATGCAACGGATTGATGTAGTAAATTATTGAAAATTTGGACATGATCACGGGCGGATCTACGGGGGGGCTTTCGGGCTGAAGCCCCCCCCCCAAAATGGAAAAATATAACCATGTTTTATCAAACAAAATATTAAAAAAGTATCTCTTAAAGTGTTATTGTTCGTGTGATTAATATTAAAAGGGCTTTAGGAATCACTTAAACACCATTTCATACAGGTAGTTAGTTTCTTTCTTTTTTTCCAAAGTAATTATCGTTATTTTTATGAAAAAAAAAGCTTTCGGGCAGAAGCCCCCCCAAAATTAAATCCTGGATCCGCTAGTGGACATGATCTGACATCAACTAAGTGCAATAAATTGGTTCGTGTATCGAAAACTACACTCCTTCCTCGCTCTTTAATTTAATGTATATTTATTAGGGAAAATACTTCATTTATTTAGTATTTATTATGGACCGAATTTATTAAATTTTCTAAACATGTTTATTGTTCAAAACTGTAGCCAAAGTAGTATGAAAACGATGTAATCAGAAAACTTTTAACATATAAAATCTGATACCAACATAATAATATTTAATTAGAATAAGTAAATTTTTATTATGCACCAAAAGTATATTTTAAATAAAATAAAAGCGATAAAATAATATTAGCATTGGGACGAGAAAAGTCGATATGATCGAATTAAAATAAAATATTTAATTTATACATAGTAACATATAAACTTAAATCACTTTTTATGAAATATTCTTATTGCGACTTTAATGTATTATCTGTTTTAGAATATATTTTAAGATTCATTTGAAACACATTTGTCAACATAGTTATTATTATAATTAATATTCAGTAATTTACGAATTAGCCCGATATATTTTAATTATATTACATAGTTTAAGGAATTTTCAACGTATATAAGAAGAATAGACATTCATCAAATAAAAGTATAAATCTTGTAAAATTAAAAAAGGAAAAACCTTTGGTTGTTTTTTTTATTTAAAAAAAACTATCAATAGAGTAAAAAAGAGTAGATTTCTGTTTTTTTTTAATTTATAGATTAAAAAAATTCACTTAATTTAGCCATGAAATATTACCTAATTAGTTGTTAAATATAATCCATCATCCTTGATATAGATACATATAATTCTAAACTCTAACTTGTATAGAAGATAAATGAGAAAGAATTTTGGAACACACGTTTCAATTTTTTTTAAAAAACAGTAAACTAAGATTTGTCAGACAATATTATTTTTATTTCTTGAAAATAAATTTAGAGTACTTGCTTGGATATTACTGGGACCATTTATGTAAAATGGATGACAGCAATACCTGAAGCCTTGGACTTACCTCGTCAGTTCTATCCGCCATCACTGGAGTATGTCAACAGGTCGATATCCAGCCACAGCCTCCTCAGCTGCTATCAGCTGGAGTCTGCGATTCCAGATATTCCAGGACAGATATTTTAAAATAAAATTAATTTTTTTCCTAGTTACATTAAGTTACTATTAAGAGTCATTTTTATAAACTAAGCTACTGTTGATAATATATACGCACTTCATCATTTTCAACAATACTATAATAATAATAATCTCATAAAAAAAAAAATAAAAAACAAAAAAAGTTTTAAAATTCACTTATGTTATTTTATATAGTTCAAAAGAAAAAAAAATATTGACCGCTGCAGAAGTATACAATACTGGCTTTAAAATAAAAGTATAAACTAAATTATAGAGCAATAATAAGTTGTCATTATGAAAGAAATATAGAATATTAGAAATATTTAGTCCTAAGTAATATTTATTAATCAATCATACTTTTATAATAAATATCTGAGCCTTTTAGTTGGCAGAATGATTAATTCAAATTAAAAACTTTTTTTAGAAAAACACTTATTATAATATTTATCGCTGGAAAATATTACTATAAATACTTTACTGTAAAATTTTGAAATTGGAGTTAGTCATTCTTTCAAATTAAACACTGTTATTATAAAGAAATATCGGATTCTTCTCCACCGCTTCCATTATCGCTTTTCTTGAACTATGTTCACAAAGTGTTCTCTATTTATGAGATGTTTATATATAATAATTTGACTCTTCCCATACCTTAAAGAGGTTAATTATTTTTAAAAAATGCGAATATAGAACTAAAAAAAGATTTTAGCTAATAATAGTGAAAAAGTAAATTCCAATACGTTCACTGAAGTTTTATACAATAATTTTATATTTACTTCTCAATTTATTTTTATTTAATTTAATCTTTATTTATTTTAAGGGAAGAACCCTATAGAAATAGAGTCTATCACAATATAACGAACATTATTATCGTTATGGAATTACAAATTCATTCCTTTTTAAACTACATTACAGATATTACATTTTATCTTAAGGATAAATTAAAATCATATTTGATAGAAATCAGATAGTTAAAATAGTTCCAATTATAAAATCTCAAATTGTCAACAATATACATACAATAACAATAAATACATTATTTTTTAAAATATTAATATTAAACTATATTTTAAAATTAAATTAAAAGATTACCCCTATACCTAAGAGAACAACCAAGAAACAAGACCCGGAAACATTACATGCCGATGTGCAATATCGAATTTTTGCCATAATATGCAGAGGACAATATTCCAGATTACCCTACCAATTCTGTATAGTTTGAGATGAAAAAATGTAATTTTCTCATATCTTCTTCACTGGTTCTTTTAAATATTTCAATCCCATCAAGATTTCCCAAACCCTGGTAAATTCTCAATCTTAAACTACTGTAAATTGGGCATTTAAATAATATGTGATGAAGTAATATATGAACAATTTTATTAATAACAGAAATCATATATCTTGATCATATATTTTCCTGATAGGCGGATCTTCATTAATAATTTCGTATATTTGAAATTAGTCGGCATCAAAAAATACTGGAGGGATCAGATTATTATTAAGAAAAAGGTTTAAATGTTCACTATAAGATGAACTATGAAATGATATCCTGTCACCGTTCTACAAATGTTGTTTATATTTATTTAATACCCCATTTATCTCTCAATGTAAATAGCCCGATATAACAGTTTTTCAGTGACTGAATGTTACCTTATCACTGAAAACACAACACAAATTTAATCAATGCTGTGGTGGATTAATGTTTTCCTGTAGGACTAGGAAATAGTATCAGATCGGAGCATGTAGTGTACCAGGCGTACTGTCTGATTGAGCCGTTGTGGCATTTCATGATCTGAACCTTCCCAACCTTGTCATCACAAGACGTGTTAAGGAATAAAAAAACAATAACGTACCGTTTTCAATTGAAGCAATAATAGAAGGCACAGGTGGTGTGGTTATATAATTAGGAAGAGGCGAGTGTGGTGGACAAAAAATGTCTTGTAATCTTCGGCAAAGAAAAAAATGTTGTTGGGTAGAGGAGATTGGACGATGATGGTAGATGACCACAACAGGACATAAATTACTTGAAAGATATTTATTTGAAGGATTAGTTTTTCCACGTTGAAATTACACATTTTAATTTAATTAATCGCACATAAATAGTACTCTGACTACCGTAATTGAAAGTATGTCGCAAAAGGATAGTTTCTGTAACAAAGGAAGGAAGGAATTAAGTTCTAAAATAAGACTCAGACGATAACTTAAAATAATAGGAGCGCCTTCTTAGTCACTTTCAATATTATTAATATTTAATTTTTATGTCTTCACAAATCGGAAATAAAACATGTTGTCGGCACCATGTTAAAGTAACGAAAATGCAAAATTGGAAAGGTTCATATTCCTTACTTTAATATGGTGACGAAGATATGTAGAAAATTGAATATGTTGTAATTGCTAATACTGTTGTATCATGGCTAATTTAGATGATTTAATTTTTGAGTTATAGCTGAAAAAAATCATAACTTTTTTTTTGTGATTTTTCTCGAGAACACATTACATATTTGAAAATACGCAGGGCTATGTGAAGATGACAGCAGGCAAGTTTCATCAAACACTTGTAGGAGATCACTTTTTCTGTTATTGTTTCATGCATTGGTGTTCGAAATCCTACAAAACAATAAGCAATAAAATCGGTTCACCGGTTAGAGAGATAATGCTGTACAGACAGACCAATGGTTACAAATACTTTTTTTGAACTCAGAGATATATTTATTTCGGATTCAGGAATATAGATACTCTGAAATGGGTAACCCGACATCACGTTGCGATGGTTTCATGGTATCACGGCAGGCCTCCACAGGCGACCTCGAACAAACTCGTAATTATTTTCTGTTTACCAGATTCCGGACAACGCGGTAGCCCGCTCGGTCATTCTGTCTCTCTTCTCCCTTCCAAAATATTATAAAGTCATATTATCACGACATTACAGTCCTGCAGAAACCCTAGATTCCTCCACTAAAGCCAAACAATCTCTACGTTCCTTTGCTTCCTCCTTCCTCTCGGAAGGCTCTCTCTACTTCTCTCACCTTCTGGTTTTCCATAGTGTATCTTCTTTGGCATTATTCCATCGGCCATTCTCTCCACATGTCCTATTCATCTCAATCTGGCTTTCTTTACCAATTCCACAGTGCCAGGTACCCAAATATTTTCAGCAGCTCCTCATTCCTTATTCTTCTCCAAATGCCGTTATCAGCAACTCCACCCCATATTCTTCTCAACAACTTTCTCTCCTAGGAGTTGAGCATGCGTTTTGACTTTCTAGTCAAGGTCGATGTTTCATACCCATGCATAATCATACTTTGTACATAGTTTAGTTACATTAAGAAACTTTGATCCCTTTAAGTGAGGGATCTATACTTAACAAAACTCTTTGCATAGTAAGAAAATAGCATCTACTCTCTGCCGTTATTCTGGCCTGTATTTTACTCTCTACTTTGTTGTGTGTAACCAGACTTTCTCGATTCTTGAACCTAATTGAACCTAAGCAAGAATCTCGAAAAGTTACTTCTCAATTCACTTACTTTTCTCTTCCTGAAATATTAATATAAACCGTCTTATTAACACTAAGTCACGGTTTAGCTGCTGTCTCTTCGAATTCCTGGAATGAGTTCTGATAATGCTGTTTGTATCCTTGAGGTAATGACATCATCGGCATATACCAGAGGTTGAGGCAGGCGATTCTAGATAGTTCCTCGTGGATTAATTCTAATAGAACGAATAACTACTTCTAGGGCCAGATTATAAAGAAGGAGAGGTGGAGAATCACCCTGTCTCAAGTCATTATCCTCCTAAAATTCCTCGAACAACGAATTTCCAAGCTTGACTCGACTTCATTACTTAGAGATTAACCAACTTAGCCTGACCGGTTTCTTCAGTATGCTTACATTTACCATAGATTTCAAAAATTCATTTCTGTACACACTGTCGTACGCATGTTTGAATTCCACAAAGAGCAGATGCCTGTCTATGTTGAATTTATAACACTTTTACATTTCCGGTATCAGAGAGCATTTAATCATCTGTTAATCTTTCAGGTCTAAAGCTTTCCTGATATACTCCTGAAATTTGTTCAAGGGAATTTGTCAGTTTTTATGTAGGAGAACTGTCTATATTTTATAGATTGTACCTATGTCTCTATAATTATCACATATTATATATATGTATGTATGCTGGACAAATACACAATCGCCAGGAAAAAGATAAACAAAATAATAAGAGCAGCCAAAAGAGAATTGCTCAAAGATAGATTACAAACTATTGAGGAAAACTTGCAGGCTAGAAATATATCGAATTCTTCACAGATATCAGGAAAGAAAGGGTAGGATATAAAGTGAGAAATACATAAATGCGAGGAAAATATGGCAAATTGATGGCATCAAAAGAAAAGATACTAAGCATCTGGAAGGAACACTTCCAGCAGCTGCTTAATCAAGGGCACGAAGACATGGATAACGAAGAATACGTGGACCACACGGAGGACATCGACCAACTTGAGCTTGAAGAACCAGATATTCTGGATGTGGAAATAGCTATCATCAGGCTTAAAAGAAGAAAGGCTCCAGGGATAGACAACCTACCGTCAGAATTGTTCAATGGTGGGGGAGAAGATCTCAGAGCCAAGCTGTTGGATCTGATCTAAAAGATATGGGAGAAGGAACGGATACCAGGAGCCTGGAACACAGGATTGATCTCTCCTATCCTTAAGAAGGGCTCCATGTACGAATGTGACAATTACAGAGGCATAGCACTTCTTCCAGCCGCCTATAAAATAATGACTAATACATCCGGATCATAAAATCGGATATATCCGTATTATGAAAACATAATAGGCACTATCAAACAGGATTGAGGAGAGAGAGGAGTACGCAAGATCAGATATTCATCCTAAAACAATTACTTGAAAAACGATGAGAATTGGATCAGGACGCACACTCATTATTTGTCGACTTCAAAGCAGCCTATGACTCCGTGGACAGAAACTGTCTCTGGAAGATCATGACTGAGCTGGGGTGTTCCCGGGAAGTTAGTGAAGTTGATTAAGGCGTTTACAAATGATCATAAATACAGGGTACTAATACAAGGAGAAGTATCTGAAGCCTTTGAAGTTCGAACGGATTTGTGGCAGGGAGTTGGACTCTCGCCGATGTTGTTCAATTTAGCACTAGAGAAAGTAATGAGAACATCACGCGAAGATGGAGGGGTGCACGTTGGAATGAAACACAAAATCCTAGAATATGCCGATGATATAGCTGTTCCTAGAAGTAATCAAGAGGATATTTAGCTACTCGCTTGGGCTCTGTAAAAAGAAGAAGAGCAAATTGAACTACAAGTTAATGTAAATAAAACAAAATACATGATAGTTAGCCGAAACAACCATCCTAATAACATGATCTGCGTGGACTCTAAGTCATTCCCGAAAGTAGACAGATTCAAATACCACGGCTCCACAATAACCTGAATAAATAGTCAACTAACAGAGATGGACCAGCGAATAACAAGTGTGAACAGATCTTTCTTCTCTTGAAATCCAGAAAAATCTCCAGATATCTAAAAATAAGGGTGTAAAATGCCGTGATTGAGCCAGTTCTGCTGTACGGTTGTGAAACCTGGGCTCTAACCGGCACACTAGAAGCCAGAATTGAGGGATTCGAAAGAAAAGTTCTACGTAGGATAACAGGGCCTATATGGGACCAGAACCTTGACACATGGAGGAGAAGAAACAATAAAGAACTTCGGAAAGAAACTGGTCAATCAATATCTCATGACATGGAGGCAAGGAGGATAAGATGGGCGAAAAGAAAAATTTAAATTTGAAATATGTCACAATGTCTCAGAGAAATTAAAAGGAGAATAAATGGCATTAAATATGTCATTAATTTGACTGAAAACTGATAATCAAAACCGTCTGAATTATGAAAAAAACAGTTTTAATGTGCTTCTGGTTGATTCCTCGATGGTATCACGAATAACTTACCAGCTATGCTAAACAATCTTCACTTTAATAAGCAGTTTTTTGTTGCACCAAATTCGATTGTTATAGCAGGAATGAGTTCTTCCTCGTTAGAATGCAAGTCATTGTCCTGAGAATAATTCAAATGGTAGTAGGTATATCCATTGATAACAGTATCATAATATTTACTGTTTCAACCTAAAAAAGTAGAAGTGATCACGTTTCATTTTTAGTAATTAGGTTGACATTCATATTTATGGTGATAAGCCAGGATTGTTTGACAGCAGATGTATTTTACACGAATTGCTTGAGGTGCGCATTCCACATCCTTTCTTGCTCACATATAATTCATTAGTTTATGTTTTAAACATTTCCAATGAATTTCATAACGAAAAATCTGGCTCCCCACCTTCCGATAATGATTTATTTTCAGTCCCTTCAACCATAGGTAACATAGGTTTCGTTTGGTATTAAACAGTGCATGGTAAAATCATGTTATACCAATATATTCCTTACTATTTATGTTGACAAATAAATTACTAGTTGGCTGCTATTTACGAACAGGGGGTACCCATCCCCTTCCCATGGTCGATGGAGCATGAAGCTTCTCTCACCCTTCCCAAGCTATTTTATTGCTCACTTCCTCTTAAAAACAGTGCAAACAAAAGTAGATTTTAAAAATTCGTAGATTACATACAATTACACGTCTGTTCTATGCTGCCACGCGTCTTTTGCTTTAAGACTTTTGATTTCAAAAATTCATTATTACATCGAAATGTGCCCCTTAAAAAATTCAAAGCTCCGTCAAAATGTGCCCCCCTCAAAAATTCAAAACCTCGTCAAAATGTGGTCCCCTCAAAAATTTTGAGGGCGCAACATGCGCCATGAAACCCCCTTCTGAAAACCCTTGTTTACGATTTTCATGAAATTATATCGAAGTTAGATTCATAAGCTGCTACACGCTCGAGCAATAAATATCTTTATATTTTTAGGGCTATAAGTATCGATTTATAAAATAAAAATATAGTTAAGGGAAACAATTAAAAAATGGATTTTTTTTTCTGTCCTTTGCCTTTAAGGGTATATGGGGTTTTATCGGAACAGGGGATGAGGGCGGGAGATTACTGCTAGAGTTAAAAGTCCCCTCCAGCCCCGGAAGGCGAACTCGTGATTATTTTACTAATTTACCAATTATCTTCCATCTGGAATATATATACTCTACGGAAGTAGACTTCCTTCCATATTTACTTAAACATCTTGCTAGATTGATAGGAAAATTTATATCTATGTACTTTCAGACTAGGCTACTCAGGCAGATCTCCCAGATCTCCCAAGCTCTATAGTCGGTTTTTTTTTTTTTAAATCAAATATTTTTTATTTACTTCAAAGCCTAAATATTACATTTGTACACATTATAAATGCATTGTAGAAATTTTGAATTTAGGTCAATGTAGCGAAATTGTCACACTCGTCCCACTGTGATTTGGTGAATCGACAATTACATTTAAGTGATTAAAAAAAAATCTTTTATCACCAGAGGCTTTTTTATTTTTATTTACTGTATATTTAGAAAATTGTCATTAAAACGTTGAAAACATTTTTTTGAATCTAAAACCAGTCGGTCCCACGAAGATGAATTAACATCGAGGATTACATTGCTGAAATCATTAACATTTACATTTTTCATCGAGATGATCTCAGAAATGTCAATAGCATTTTTGCAAGATTTTGATTCATTCACACTAATCCGTTGAAAAGGTGAAAACATTTTACAATTAACCGGTATAAGAAGTAGAGATTGAAATTTTAATGGTAACATTTTTGTTAGAAACATGGTTATTAGCAATGTTAATGTTCGGTATTGATCGGAAATAACATTTATATAATAATTATGTTAACGGTAAAATTTTCGTGTAAACCCAGTTTAAAAGATTCTTCTGTTGGTCTGCTGGACGTCGCTGATCCCTCAAAGTCCATCAGGAGCCAGATTGGCTGGGGCAGTGGGGGTAACAATACCTCAGGAGTGATATATAAAGGACAAGGTGACAGCCTCCAGCAATTCTTCACCGCTGCCGCCATGGATCTCAAGTCGGTAAGTCCGGAGTGCTGGATTACATTAAGTGTCATTATTCGTTTTATATAACTTATAATTATTTTATAAAGTTCCGTCAATGATAATTTATAAAATGACCACCGGTAACTACAACAAATATGTCACAAATTCTCTACTAGTTTTGAAGTATACTTATCTTAATGTATTATACGAAGTTTGTATTTTTTCTTCGGGGCAAACTAACTCCGGTAGTATTTTGCATCAGTTTTAATTAAAATTAAAACTTGACTATTTAATTTAAACTGTTGTTTAAACGAAAATGATTTATCATGTATACTCGTAACAAGTGAGTTTTATTTATTTCTGAATTCTATGTCTTTTTTTAAAAATTAAACAAAACCATTATACATTTTTTGTAGGAGTGCTGCTTTTTACAAAATATTTTTTGGAAACTTAGGAATGTTAGGAAGATGGAACGTTTTATAATTTAATGTTCTCAGGACTATCACCTCATCAGATTGAATTTGGTTCATATTTTTTTTTTCGTTTACCATCTACCTTGCTATTCTTGGATTATGGGATGGGGTGTTGGGTCGTTTAAGAGGTACAATCAAACCTAAACCCATGAAAGGTCGAGATTCATTCCATGGGTCAGCAACGGAATAAATTCCAACCTGTCCAGGCCGGATTCGAAAATATTCAAGCGGGCAACGCTAGAACACCCTCAGGCAACACGCCTGTTTGTTGAATAGTTTAAAGAACTAGTGACTATGAATGAACCAGAAAAAAATAATATCTAAGTAAAAAGACAAATAATTATTTGTGGAATTATAAAGTATTAAAAAAAATGTTAAAGCCTTGAATTTCATTTAAGAAAGGTGCCTCAAGCCTTGTAGTGGCACACTGCATTATTTGTATTATTAATAAAAAAAACATATATAAAATTTGAAATAGAAAAATACTAATTTGTACTAAAACAGCTACTCTTCGAAATTAAATAACTTGATTGGTTTATTTTTAAAAAAATAAAGAAGGGATAAAATAAATAAAAAAGGGACATCTCAACCTGTAATATTATATAAATTCATTATAACATTGGAAAATTACTAGATTCATTTCAAATTGTTAATTATTGGATGGATCTGTAAGTTCGTTCAGTTTTTGAAGTGGGTGAAATATAACATGTTTTTCTCACACAAATAATAAATTTTATTCTATAACGTATTTGCCGTTTTTATTAATGATCTCTTGACATTTTTCTAACAATTTTATTATTCCGCTCTCGTAAAACATCAGGAGGTTAGAAGCGAAAAACTGATCCAGATACGTTTTCACACCTCTCTCATCGACGAATGATTTCCCGTTGAGAGATTTTTGGAGGGACCGGAATAAGTGGCAGTCGGATGATGCAAGATCTGGTAAATAAGGTGGGTGTAATAAAACATTCCGGCCAAGTTGCACTAACTTTTACTGATTATTACAGAGTGCGGTCTGGTGGAATACAACCGCTTTGCGATTGACAAGTTCTGGGGGTTTCTGCCACAATGCTTGATCCAATTTCGTTAGCTGCGTGCAGTATGTCTTCGGATCAATCCTTTTTCCTTGTGGAAGCAGCTGGTTAACCAGCACGCCGCGATAATCCCTCCCTATGTAGAGCAAAATCTTTATCGGACTTCAGAGTGGCATTAGGCGGCTTTTCGGCAGTTGTTCACCGTCTTCTGTCCACTACATTGTAGTAGATTATACACTCTTCTTCTGTCATCACTATTCGATTTAGGATGGATCTGTTTCGTGTCGGTTCAAAAAATAATGGCAGCTTGGTGTTCGGTTAGCTGGTTTACCTCAGTCGTTTTGTGTGACCCTCAAAAATAGAGGCGCTACACACAGCAAAGTTGTTTTAAATGCCTTTTGACGGTTCCAAAACCTATTTTCAGCGTCTCCGCAATTCCACGTACCTGTCTTGTTCAATTAGAGACTTGATTTCCTCCTAAAGTTATTATGTGATATTTGTGTTGAATTCTGATAAAAGAAGCGAGTAACATGGGTTAACATTTAAAAAACAATTAATTTCTCCTAAAAATAGCATTATCATGTATGATTATAAAAAGTGTCTATATTTTCATTTAATTATTTCATTAAGTATCAATTCTCATCCATCAAGAGTTTGTAAAAAGGATTTTATTATTTTAAAATAAAAGTTTGTAAGAAGTTCTTTTGGCTATTAATAATTAAGTATTTTTTAAAAATTCATGTAACTTTTAGTTTTTAGACCATGCTACAAACCTTGTACTGTCAACTGATCTTTTCTCTCGATGTCTCACTGGTACAATATAAAAGAAAAACACTCGAATAGGATTTAAATTTGGGAGCAGCGGGGTGCCCAGAATGGGTTTTTGAATTTTTGAGGGGATCAAATTTCTATTTAATAGCAAATATGAATTTTCGGGCTAAAGGACAAGGCGAAAACATTGAACAGACTGCAGGAAGTTTAATTTTATATGATATACGACTTTTCTAATATTACCTTAGCTTGCTCTGTTTTTAAGAAAAGGTGAGCGATAAAATATATAGGGAGAAAGGGGAGAAGGGTATATTCTCGCGCCATCGAACTTGGGGAGGGGGGAGGGAGGGAATGGGCGTCCCTTGGGAGCAAATAGTTTGAATGAAGATATCGATGATTACTAATTGATACCTCATATCTATAAAAAGACTGTTTTACTGTAACTAGAACAAAAAACTATTTTAAAAGACAAGTAAAAATCCAAAACTCAGGTTTTTGAGTATTTAAGGAGGCATATCAAAATTCAGTATTTTTCAGTTTATTTTCTGTTCTATGTTAGTTATCATCCGAGTTTATTATTTGTCAGGAAAAAAATTAAATACTCATCAGATACTAAATGTCACCACATTCTCTATTTCACTAATAACGGCCCCGCCTACTAATTCTTAAATATTTGGTTTCATTATAAAATATAATGGTATAGAGATGGTTTACCCTGATTATAATATGAGGAGTTGGTCGGGATGTGCGGTCAAATAAATACTATATGTTAAAATAATAACGTATAGCTTATAAGGATATAGCTTATAATAACACATATATTAAACTAATAACAATAAGATACTATTTTAACATGTAGTATTTATTTGATCGCACCCCCCGACCAACTCCTTCTCATAAAATGTAATCTTTAAATTGTAGCGTTGTTGAATTTATTCCCGTGTCATTACTCCATTAGAGCAAGAGTGGTCCGGTCGAGATTCACTACGGTAGGACTTCCACGAATGAGATTCAGCTGACTCAGTTGGGAAACAGAACACTTGCCCATCATCTACGTGATCTTTCTCCTCGAAACCTTCCTGAATTTCCTAAACAGATGCGAAGAGTTCAGTTTACTTTGGACCCAAGGAATGAATACAAATCTCAGATTTCATGGCATTATAAAAGATAATCACTGGGGAGATTGCACGTCTTTGTGTTTAGTGAATTTGGTCAGGTTAATTTAAAGAATGCAATATTTCGCCCGTAACTTTCAGTAAACTTATTCGTAGATTACTTGCACGTTTTAATCTTAATCTGCTTCTATTTCTTGCACTTCACTATCATTTTTTTTTGTTTTGTTTTTTACAGCTAATTAGCTTTTATTGGTTAAGTCATGAGAAACATACCGAAACACAGGTGGGAGGATTATGTTAAGGTTGGGCATGCGGTGTTGGGTTTTGACAATCTTTCGTAGACGGAGATAAGCAGATAACAATTATTAGTACCGACAAGGATGTCCAGAGTGGGATGGAATGGTACGAGTAGCTTCATCACAATTTCTAAGGGGGGCCAAATTGTACTTGATTTTGAATTTTTAAAGTGGTATATTTTAAAAGAGTTGTTGATTTTCGAAAGAATCATTTCAATTTGGAGGAATTTTCAAACCATTAAACGAGAGGAAAAAATAAGAATAGACCAAAGCAAGTTTATTGTAAATTAACAATAATTTTTGATAATACTACTTTCGCTTGCTCTATTTTTAAGATACAATTTCTTAAAGAGGAATTGGTAATGTGCCATCCACTTTATAGGTATGGACGCTCCTTAGCATCGGCATCGAAACTTCGGACAATCACTAAATCTTAATTAATATTATACAGAGCTTTTTAATTTACCTAATGTACGTTCACTCCCTTTCAATCTCTTTCTGGTTGTATCATGATATAGTTAACTTTTCATAGAACTAGGTTATAGATTAGTCGGACTTTCATTATGAAAACATCTTATGTCCAAATATTCTGTTGTTCATGGTCACAGTTTCGTACACCAACTAAAGTAGCAAGAGTTGGTGATAATCTACGATATACCAACCTGTTCTATTCAAAGGAGGAATTATGAATCGCAATCGGTGGATACGCTAGTAAAGAAGAACTCTCAAAGACCAGAACTTTTGAAAATACAAGTGATTTTTTAAAAGTTTATTTAATGAAATTTACAACTTGAGTAAAAATATAATTCAATTTGTAAATGTGAGCAGAATGATAATAATACAGAATAAGAGGAACTACCTAATGTTAGCATTCACTAAATAATTCTAAGTTAGAAGATCCCGAGGCCATCTTCTTTTCGTACATCTAGGAGGATTATCAGGGAAAAAAGCAGGTCGGAAACCAGTGGGTTTGGATGGTTCTGAAGTTTTTTCTGGGTCTAGTCAAATTAGCGACATATGCAACTTTTAAGTCTGTATGAACGACTTTTTTTTTTTAAAGAAGAAAGAGCGTTAAGGATTGTACGAATGAAAAAGAAGAATAAAAATCTTTTTATTTATCAAAATTACAAAATATTAATCACAAGAACAAAATAAAAATAGTATTTTGTGATCTAAACCAAAAATCTCAGGTGCATTACATGGTCTTACATCGAAAGTCCGAGGAGATTGTACAAATGATTTTGGGTTGTAAGAATTTAGTTTTATAGCTCCTTCTTTAGTTAGGCAAACTGTATATTATAATTAGAAATTTATAGTGTTTATCTAGTATATAAATATAAAAAATATATAACAAATTATTATCATTATTTTTAAGCAACTTTTTTTAAATTTAGGCTGGATTAATAAAAAAATTTAAAACTAAAATAATGGAAGCTACGTTATTTATTTATGTTTTTGTAATGGTAATTGTCTTCTATTTCAATGATTGACAATAAGGCACCTGTCTTCATTGGGTAATTGCTACCACTGAAAACAATACATGACAAATCACCTATCCGCTCTAAGAAATAACGCTCGATTAATAAAACCGGATCTATAAGTACGTTATGCTCACTATGTTAACTCTATCAATATTTGTTTATTATTTTATGGATCAAAGTCAAGAGGAGAAAAATAAGTGCGATGTAAAATTGATGAGAATGTTAACTAGATCCTTTTATCATACATTTAATGATTTATAATAGTAATGTTTAAATTTGTGATTCGAATTCAGTATTATTTTATCCCGTTAAAAATAGAAACAATAATTCAGTTCCATGTCAATGTATAATTTGGCCATTTTAAAGTATTCTGAACCCATAAGAATTTTAAAAATGTGTTTTAGCTATTTTTGTTGTACCCAATTTGTAAACCTTTTCTTTTTAATCGATTGCTTGTTTTGTTTTTTTTATAATACTTTATTGTAGAGCATGCTGATATTTGTGGAGTTTACTCTAGTTTTGTTAATTAATATGTTATTAAGATTAGTGCAAGATTAGAGTATTACTTTCAGATAAAACATTATTTTATTTTATTATTTGTTGTCCACGCCTACTTAATGAATTATCGAGTATCACTGCTCAACTATCTGCAATAATAGCCCTAACATAGAATTCATTCAACCGCAGAAAAAACGAACTTATATGAATAGAAAAGTGTTCAAATTTAAAACTGATAACAGTTAATGCTTTACAACTATTAGTCCATTTTTTACGCTGTCAAGAGTGATCAAATCATGTTACTACGGTGAAACAATCATTGCCATGGTTACATGGTTGACTATTTAAATAAAATAAGTTGAACTAAGGATGTAGATTATTGCTTGAGAACAATCGACCGCCCATAATTCGGTCACTAGTTTAATAGTTCCGGCAACGGTACCACAACTGGAGGAAACAAAACATCGTTCCAGATTTAACTCTGATAAAAGATCTAGGCTCAAAGATCATTAGTTAGGTCTTTTGAAAACAGAAGGTGAAATTAACGTGGACCTGGTACTTGCATTGTCTTCCAATGAAAAAATTTGATACGCTGATGGTCAAAGATAGGAAGAACTGAAATCCATCATGTCGAAAAAAGTGAGAAGTCCTTGACAGTTGAGAACCAAAATTGATCAAATCCATTTATTTTCGAGAAAAAGTGTGTTAATTTTTACTAATATAAGCTAAAGCTTATTTGAGGGTTTCATGGCGTAAAAAAAAAAAATGATTTTCTTTAAAAAAACTTTATATTTATTTAGTTTAGTTCTACAGACCTTGTAGATATTTTGCTGCCTTAACCAGCCTTCTCCATGTCTGCCTATCTTGGGCTATTTTTTTTTCCAGTTATCTGCATGCAGCTCTGTTGCATCCATAGGTGCAGAATTTTCATTCTGGTTGGGAGGGCCTTCCCCGCCCCAAAAAATTCTTAGACGTTTATATTATGTATAAAAATTATGATTGACAATTAAAATGATAAGTGTAAAACGAACAATACAATACTATATATGAAAAAATTTTACGGGCGTGTCCAGAAGAGGGTTTCATAGCGCGAGTTGCGCCATCAAAGTTTTTGAGTTGCCACCCTCAATTTTAACGGGATTTTGAATTTTTGGAATGAAAAGTTTCAATATATTAAGAATTCTAGTTTGTGGTGTTACATATAATTATCTTTGAATACAGACTAAAATTTTAATAATAGGGACACAGGGCGTAGTTAAATACATTCTTACCTACTTTTACGACTTAGCTTATAAAGTCGACCTTTCCTATTTTCCTTATTGATTTTAGTTTAGATATGTTATTTATTTATGTAGATTAATTGTTATTAATTTTGTTTTGTTTTTGTACTTCAAAATATTTGGGAAGGGGTGAAACGATATTCTCTTCGCCTTTTTTTTATTGAGGGCGGGGGGGGGGCGGAAATAGGGTAGAGGTTGATCGCTTCCCTTCATTCCCGAAGTCCGCACCTATGATCTATTTGATTTTTGACCTCTTGCATACTATTGAGGCATTCATTGTTGCATACAGGATTCCTGATGGATTACACTGAGGTACATTCACCGCCCATGTTAATTTCTTTGCCTTCATATCATTAGGTATTGATTCACCATTTTCTGTAAGCATCTCTTAATTGACCTTTCTGTACGGCCATGGGTTAGATATTACTGAACCAGATCGTTATCCGGCCACCGTGGTAGAGAATTTTCTCTTCATAATATCACGCAATAAATCTAGTCTAATAGTGCTGGGATATATTTAAAAAATTTGTGAAATACATACTGCAAATTATAGTATATATTATATAAATAATCAATTAAAATATAACATAGGCACATATTAAGGTTGAAAAAAAAATACTAAAAATACCTTTTTTTTTTTTTAGGTGATCTTGGTATTGTCAACGGCCGCTTTTGCTTATTCTGAGGTTAAACTGCCGTCAAGGGTAGCACAATTAGTGCAATCATTACGACCAAACAGAACACAGATAAACAACACAGTCGTCATCAGCGAAGGCACCAATACTGGATTGTATACTTATTACCAGGGATATTATGTTCCTCCAAAAGACCGACCTCAGAAACCTGATAATGTTAATGCATCCACCCAACTCAATAATCAAGGAACAGTAGCCAATGAATCCCACTTTTTCGCTAATGTAGGTGTTCTCGAAACATCATTGAATAATTCTAAGAACGAAACTCAGAATAGTCATGTAAATAATACTCATCAAGAACAGACTACACTAAACCCATCAAACACCGATAAAAACACCGAAATTGCCCAAGTAATTCGAGTAGATGCTGATGAAACTAGTGGTAACCGAGAGAGCAATGCCCTTTTGAATAGAGTACAATCAATCAACCCGATGGTACATTTACAAGACAATATATCTGGTAAGAAGTTTCATCATCATCATCATGTTGGAGGAAATGTTGGAGCACAGGGAAGTGGAAACTTTGCGGTTGGTGGTGGAGTACAAGGATCAGTTTCAAGCAATGGCCAAGGTCAAGGTAATTATGGAGCCCAAGGACAAGGAGCCTATGGAGTACAACCACAAGGAAGTTATGCTGGTAGCTATGGCCAAGGAAGTTATGGTCAAATGTCTGGAAGCTTTGGGGCCGGCGGTTCAGTACAAGGATCTCTCGGAGGACAGTTTTCAGGAGGTGGAGCGGTTCAGGGAGGTTCAGGAGTGAACAGTAACCCTGCAGGGCAGTTTGGTGGACAAGCTACTGGAAACTATCAAGGAATGGGAGGTGGACAATATGGTGGAGCAACTGGAATACAAGGATCGTATGGAAATCAACAACAAGTCCAATATCCCATGCAACCACAATACCCTCAAGGCCAATTATCTGGAGGACAGCAAGGACAGTTTGCCGCTGGAGGGATGATTCAAGGAAGTGGTCAAGGACAATTTTCAGCTGGAGGATCAGTTGGAAGTAGTGGACAATACGGCAGCCAGCAAGGAGTTACTGGTCATTATGGTCAACAAGGACAATTCCAGGGGTCAGGACAATATGGAAATCAACAAACGCCCTCTGGAGTCAGTGGATCAGTACATGGAAGTGGTTCAAGTCCAGTAGGAGGGCAGTTTGCCGCAGGAGGTAATGTCCAAGGTTCTGGTGGTGGTCAATTTGCATCTGGAGGTTCTGTTCAAGGAAGTGGAGGTTCTGGACAATTTGTATCTGGAGGATCTGTACAAGGCCTAGGAGGAACACAGAGTTTCCCTATGAATCAGGTTCAACCAATAGGCCAAGGAGAACACGGTTGTTGTGCACAAGTTGGCCAACCAGGGCAGTTCCCACTACCTACACAACCCCAGAATGGACCTCAAACAGGACAATACCCTTTCCAACAAAACAACCCTTATCCTGTACAGGGGGGACCAATCTCTCAACCATCACCCTCAGGCCAGTACCCACAACAACCAATGCAAGGAAATCAATATCCACAACAAGCTACCCAGTACCCTCAATCATTACCACAGGGAACTCATTTTCCTCCACAAAATCAGGGGCAATATCAACCTCCAGTTTACCCACAGCAAAGTGGACAATATCCCCAAACATCATTTCCACCAAATCAGTATCCTCAAACAGCAACCCCATCAAATCAGTATCCTCAAACAGTAGTTCCACCAAATCAGTACCCTCAGATGCAAAATCCTTACCCTCAAAATCCTGTACTAATAAATAACCCATCAAATAATCAAGGTGGAAGTGGTCAAATTACAGGTGCCGTAATGGGAAGTGGTTCAAGTTCTTCTGGAGGACAATTTGCAGCTGAAGGTTCGGTACAAGGATCTATTTCTCCTCAAAACCAATATCCTCAACAGGTACCTCAGAATCCTGGACTATACCCAGTGCAAAGCTATCCATCAAATATCCAAGGAGGGGGTAGTCAAGTTACAGGTTCTGTGATGGGAAGTGGTTCTAGTTCTGCTGGAGGGCAATTTGCTGCTGAAGGATCAGTCCAAGGATCTATTTCTCCTCAAAACCAATATCCTCAACAAGTAACTTCTGGACAGTATGCTGGACAGAACTATCCACCAAATACTCAAGGAAGTGGAAATCAAGTGGAAGGAGCTGTTTATGGTAGTGGTGCGAGTTCTACAGGAGGGCAATTCATAGCAGGTGGTTCAGTTCAAGGATCTACTTCACCTCAAAATCAATACCCTCAACAAGTACCCCAAAATCCATCTCAATTCGGAGGTAACCAAGTTGGTGGTCAATTTGCAGCCTCAGGGTCAGTTCAAGGTTCTTCTGCACCTCAGAATATATATCCTCAAAATGGCCAATATCAGCAATATCCTCAGCCTGTGCCACAACCGGGAATACAAGGAGGGCAATTTCAGCAACCCATTAACCAGAATCAATATCCTCAAAACAGTGGTATAACTGGTAGTGTATATGGAAGTGGTACTAGTCCTGAAGGTGGTCATTTTAGTACAACAGGGTCTGTCCAAGGTACCACTGGTCCAAATAGCCAATTTACTGCAGGGGGTAATGTACAAGGAAGTGGAGGAAGTGGTAGTTTTCAAGGAGGTGGTGGTACAGGAGGTAATTTTGGTCAGCATGGAATGGGACACCATCACCATTCTGGCCATCACCCAGGTCAAGGTAGTGGTCCTAGTCATGTAACTGGTGAAGTTACAGGAAGTGGACAAGGTGGATTTACAACTGGAGGAACAGTAACTGGGACGACAGGAGCAGGTAACTTTGAAGCTGGTGGTGATGTCCAGGGCACAGGATCTGGTGGATTCGTGGCTGGTGGTGGTGTTCATTCAAGATTTAAACCAGGTCACAAGAAACATCATTGCATCTATGAATAATGAGCCTAAATGTTCTACAACTAATTTATTATAACCAGGCATGTTTGAAGTAACATTGAATGAAATATATTCAAAGTTGTTGATGAATGATTTGAAATAAATTTTTACATATAAGTTTTATGACTCAAAAAAATATAATGAACTATTCTCAAATTTGTTAAAACCTCTTCAAGATTTATTAATTAATCATTATTTCTTACTTAATATTTCACAATATTAAATAATGGAGAAATGATTTTTGAGAAACTATTATGTTTGGAATTTTGTAAATAGAATCACCAATGTTTTAAATCATAATTGACAACTTTTATTATTAATATATTATTATTTATTATTGTTATTAAGCTTTCAGTTTTATAAATATTGTCATTATATATAATATTTTTATTATGAAATATTTAAAAAAAAAGATTTTGTAAAGATTAAGCAGTATTGTGTTGCTAGTTACTTTATATTCAGTATTAAATTAAACACTTACTGGCAATCATAATAATTGCTTAACCTTAGAAATGATACTTTTCAGAGCCATTAATTCTTTACATTTTTAAAATGCTTAAAAATAAAAAATTATTTCTGATAGTCTATTACCTAATTACAATTTATTATTTCAAGATGTGTCCATTGAACATAAAATTTTGAAACTATTAAATCAATTAGCTCACTTCTGTAGTATAGGATCTTATTTTAGAAATGTGAATCAATTGTAAATATTTATAATATGGAATTTAAATTTATTTATTATTGTGATTAAATAGATAACATGACTGATAAGCATACTCTATTTATAATGTTGCCTGTTTATTTGAAAAGGTGATAAAAAATTTAGAATTGTAATATAAGTTTATTTATTAAATAAATTTTTTATATGTTTGTATCCTTTTGTTTTTTTTACCTAAAAGAATTAATTTATTATTTAGTACAAAATAACCGAATTGAAATTATTTATATCAAGTCTAGAATGTAAATGACATTAATATCAAAGTTATCTCCTAAAAAAAGTTATAAAATAAGGAAACCTTCCTGAAACAAACATCCAACCTTGCTTCATTAAAAATTATCTACCAATCTACTGTTGTGATGTGATAATATAATTTGAAGTTCAGGTATCACCATAAGCAGATGTAAGGGGGAAGGGAAAAAAAATATTTTTTCATTGGTCTATCAGGTTACTGGTCACTGGTTTCATTGGTTACTGTCAGCGATCTAAGCTTAATACTTAAATAATAACAATATGTTTTATTTTTGATATTATAATGCATATATAGCAACTAAACCATGTCTTATTAAAACAATTATCTCTAAAAGTATTATTGTTTGTGCTATTACATTTTTAATAGGACTTTAAGAATCATTTTCATATAGGTCATAAGTTTATTTCTTTTTCTTCCCAAGTGTTTATCGTTATATACATGAAAAAAAATTCTTTTTGGCTGAAGCTCCCTCAATATTAAATCCTAGATTCGCTACTGGACATTACCATTTTAAGTATTTTAGCTGCAAATTCACTCATATTTACACTACTATAGGGTGTATAAACCTTATTATTTATTAATTTCATGATAATTTATTAATACAATGGAGAAGAGGCCTGGAACGAGATCCATAAGGTGATATGGGACATATGGTCAGAAGAAAAAATGCCAGATAAATGGGGAGACGCTATTATAGTCCCTATACATAAAAAGAGAAATAAACTCAAATGTGAGAACTACTGGGGAATAGCAGTCCTACCCACAGTCTATAAAATCCTTTCAGTGGCAATATGTCGAAAGCTAGTGAAAAGGAGTGAAAGAATTCTGGGAGAGTAACAGAGTGAGACAAATGCTGGAGAAAGCGTATGAATATAATATAGACCTGCATCACCTATTCATTGACTTCCGGCAGGCATATGGCAGTGTGGACAGGAGTAAGCTATTGGAAGCCTTACAGTCACTGGGGATTCCTAGTAAACTAATAAGATTGACCAGAATGACCACAGAAAGGACAAGCTGTATGATCAAAACCAGAGTGGGTATGTCAGACAGTTTCGAGGTTAACAGTGGCTATCTCCTGTACTATTCAATCTCGCTTTAGAGGTTGCAATTCGGAAAATCAAGACGAACCCTGGTGGTACCATCTATAATAGGCTCACGCAACACATGGCATATGCTGATGACGTTGTTATATCAGGAAGAACTAAAGCAGCACAAGCCGGCGCTATAGTAGATTTCAAGCATGCAGCTCAAGAATTAGCACTCATTATAAGCATGGAAAAGACGAGGTATATGAAAAAATCCCGACATCCCAGAGAGAAAGGAGATACTGTTGAATTGGGAGGGCACATTTCGCAACTGTGATAAATTTAAGTACTTGGGCAGAGTAGTGACAGAAAACAATAATTTGGAAGCAGCAAAAAATAGTAATATATAAAACGGTGATTAAACCGGTCGTTTTGTATGGCAGTGAGACGGGGACTATGACCAAGGAAAACAGGAGAGCCTTGCTGGTTTGGGAGAGAAGAGTCCTAAGGAAGATCTTTGGAGCTGTCAGAGAGCAGCATAGATGGAGAATAAGAAGCAACACAGATTTAATGGAGTTATATGGTGAATCAGACATTCTTAGTGTTATTAAGAAGGGCAGACTTTGATGGCTGGGTCATGTTGAAAGAATGGATCTCAGTAGACTTCCAAAAATGATGCAGAATGGTACTCCAGGAGAAAAAATACAAAGAGGTAGACCCAGACACTGATGGTTGGATGATCTGGAAGAAGACTTGAGGAGGTTGGGGTTCTGAAATTGAAGGAATCATGCTGTGGACCGTGAGGAGTGGAGGAGACTGGTGGCAGAGGCCCAGGTTCTATAAGGAATGTAGTGCCCATTGAAGAAGAAGAAGATAATTAGAGAATTACTACATTATCGTTAATAATATTATTTAGTAGTTATGGTTTGTAATTTTTTTATTATGAATTTAAAGTGCATTACACATTTTATTCTCAGTGAACTTTTAGGAGGAGGTTTCTTTTACTTGCTCCGCATTGACAACATTAAACTGAAATAACAGTAAGAAGTATTGACCACCTGAAACAGTTATATATTGTTTATTAGAAGGAAATAAATCAGCTCTAAATAAGTTTATAAACATGCTATCAAATATCATCATTTGACTCAGTAATATGTTCTTGTAAAAGTATATATAATTGTACCTTGCTGAAGTTTTCATAATTAGTTTTCAATCCAGTCAAAGTCACAGGTGTAGGCATATAGTCGACCATTATGAGGAAAGTGTATATATATTTCTGGCATGAAACAGGCATACTAACCCAACTAGAGTAGTAAATGATATTTCTTAGTTTTTCCACCTTCAAAATAAAAGAATTGTTGCAGTAACTTATATTTTTTTTCATTCATATTATTTTAAAAAATGAATAATTTATCAAATGCCTTATATTAATATCTTAATTTATTTTATTGTATTATATTTGTATTTCAAGAAATTTTGAAGAAGAACTTTGATACATTTATATTCTTGGAATTCTTCAGCCAATAAAGAAAAGAAAGTCATTATTTAATTTTCTCTAGAAATCGAAAGGTATTTGTTCTATTTAAAAAGTATTAAAATATGCAAATTTCATAATGGAAGAAAAAAATATTGACTGTCAGTGAATTACATCTTAGTAAAAGGAAAAATAAATTGAATCATACCTACCTCTTCTGTCAGTAGTTCACAAATAAAACTAATGATGAATTGATTGCCAAGTGTTACACAAGTATTCATGAAACTGTTTATTAGCATGAGCTTATCAGTTTCCTTAAAATATGGACATAAAAATAAATTATATTTCTTAATACAAATTTGACTCATACTAATGGATTGTATTTTCAATCAAACGAATAAATATAATATTTAACACAAATAATAAATGCAATAAACATACAAGTTATTTTTACATACTGTTGTTAGTCTTATTCCTGAAATGCTCAAAACCACTATACCAATATTGTAAGATAGTACTGCCAGTGTTGAAAAAATATTACTCAATTCTTTTGCACTTCTGAAAAAAATAAAAATATTTAGTAGTACAAGCAAGATAAATTTATAATTGGTTGACTAGCTTGACCCACTTGAAAATATCACTCCAGTTAAATAGTTAAGCAATAAGAGACTCTGAACTTAAACTTATCCATTATTGCAGTTGCTCATAACCTATTTGGTTAATACAGAAGAACCTTTCTTGGCTCATTGTTCTCCCGTTTAATAACAGTATTATAGTCTATTACAAAAAGTATAGAAGCCATATCTGGATTTTATTTATTAACTTTTTTTTTTAAATTTCTTTCTGTATTTTTTCAAGTTCCCTTAGGGTTTATAGAGCTATTCTCATTCATTTTCCTTTTCAATAGATTTTTAGTTCATTGAATATTACATAAATGACAATGTTTCAATTTTCAAAACCAAAAGGAACTATATAGATATAGGAACTATATAAAATCTTTGAAACATAGTTTATCCTGTCTTGATCCATAAACTTTTGAAACTATCTGAATTTGGAAACCTCCCAGTTTTAACAATGTCTTTTATTATAATTTTAGTACGATTTTAAGTTTTGAAATTGGGATCCATCAATTATTTATGAAATTCCCTTTTGTTGGATATCATCAAAATCCATCACTTCTGGCAGCCAGAGAAGGGATCTAAACTACCTTATTGAATAAATTGTAGATATTTTTTAAGTTCTGAAAATTCCAAATGAAATTATTTAAAAAAAAACTATTACATAAATATAATTTATTCATTAAAATAAATTATTAATAGGAAAATTTATAAGAAAATGTAAAATAATTGTTTAATGATTAAACTTATCTTTACTTGTGAAATAAAAAGAAAAAGGAGGTTGGACTGATGTAGTATTTGTGGAATGTCAGTGAATAATAATTTATTTGATTTTGATACATAATTATTTATGGTCATAAACCTAAAACTGGAAACAATCAATAAAAAAAATAGAAGTTGCAATTTAAATTTATTCTTTACTGTTCAAATATTTTTATCTGACTTCCTTCTTTGTTGATCCTTTATGGTTCATAGGTACTAGTACTGGTAGGAGAAACATATCTAAAAACTAGTCCTTGCGGTCCTATTTGCCAATCTCTCACAGATCATCATTAATTAATCACTAATTAAAATATGGAATCAAACCAACAATACTAAGGGGGATCTTAAGAACCTTGCCTAAACTTGCTGAACCATTATCACGTCTTCTTGGTTTGTTGGTAAGATGTTTGTGAGGGGGCGGGATGGCCGAATGAGCTAACGCAAGTGCACAGCACCGCGAGTTGCCCGGCAACCCAATAACCGAAGTTGTGAGATTAAAAAAAGGATGAGTTAATCTCTTGGACTCGCGCCCTGATGTCGGAGGAGATTTTAAATTCCCCGCCCGGAAAAACCCTGTATAGCCTAAAAGGCAAGGTAGAGAAGAAAGAGGGGAAAAAAAGGTAAGATGTTTGTGTGAATAGTGAACAGAAAAAAAAAAAAAAAGGCCTGTACCACTAGAACCAATGAAGGGTCTTGGGTTCAGTAATATTTAGAGAAAGTACCATTTAAAGGCCAACGGTTATGCAGGGAGGGGATTGGGCCATGGTCTCGCTCAACTGCTAGGTTTTTCCCCTTAATCAATTATTTAATTAAGGTTATCCACTTTGTAGAGGGTGTGTTGGGTGTGCTCCAGGAGGATATCTCCCTACCCTAGGATCGCCCCACGGCCAATGAAACAGAATAAATAATTTTTCTGCGGTGAGCCGGGATTCGAACCTGGGACCTTGAGCATTGGAAGCTTAGTGCCCTACCACTGAGCTACCCCCCTCCATAGTAAATAGAAAGTAATTTAGAATAATACAATAACATTTGCAATCTTTATTTAAAAATCATGTAAATATGAGTTTTCTTTGCAAATACTGTTATTTAATTAAATAAAAATGGTTTAAGCTAGGTGGTTTTGTTGATAAAATGGTACTGGCGATCCTGGTGTTTAGTGGATAATACGTATTGATATGGATTGCAATTAGTTGCATTGGTATTTGCTACCACTAAAGAGTTGAAAGCAGAACTGAGGTGCCCTACAGGCCATGCTTATCTACTGGCGTAGATCATGTAGTTGATCAAAAACATGGCCAGCACATTATTTTAAATTTATCCTCCTTGAATTGTCCACTTGGTAAGGATTATGAGTGCAACCGCCAACTTTGTATTGGCTTCTAAATATAAAGAAAGATTATTAATTAAAATTTAGAAATAATAAAAATTTATCTAATAAAAAATATAAATAACATTGAACACTCAATATATAAAATTTTAAAAAATAATATTAAAAATCAAATATAATTAAACATTGAATATATAAAAAACTAAAATTAAATATTTTAAAAATATAAATAAAAATTAAATATAACAACAAATTTTAAGAATAATAATTAAAAATATTAATATACGTTAACTAAAATATACATATAAACAAATAAACAAATATATCAAAGAAAAATTCAATAAAAAAAGTAAGAAAATAAAATTTAAAATGTATGATTTAAATTTATGATTAAGTTTAAAATAAATAAATCATTTTAAAATGATTTTAAAATATGTATTATATATATATATATATATATATATATATATATATACATACATACATACATACATACATACATACATATATTGTAATGTACACCTTTATTGGAAGTAAGTAAAAAGATTTTAATAAATTAATGTTGAACAATTAAAAGGCAAGCTAATCTAGTTCTGCTAGTGCAGGAAAAAGAAAATGGCTGCTCTCTAGTTTCCCAAGAAGGAAAATGCCTAAGAGGAGAGGGACATTGTTTTGGCAAGCAGTTGTTGTGTGGCTGCAATGGAGATAGGATAGGAGAAGGGATCCTGGCTCCAGTGGGTAAAGCCCAGTAATAGTATTAATACCATTTTGGAAGATGTGTTTGGCAGAACTTAGGAAAATGTTTGAAAATAAATAAATTTAGTGCAACAAAAGAAGAAACAGTGCATATAGAAAAAAAGTTAGCTTGCCATTTCATACTTGACTTTATTTTAAAATAAGTGTTTAATTTTAGAGTAAATAATAATAGTTTGCCTGAGTTGATCTGATAGTCAGTAACCCACCACTTGTCAGTAACCCACACCTGAGATGAATTAATAAATTAATTTTCTTATAATTTTGTTTATTATTAAACAACCTCTTATTCATTTAGGAAGTATCCCAATGGTAAGAAGTGAGCTTCCGACGTTATATTATTATTATTTGTCAAATAACAGAGAGATGTTACAATATATATGTATATATATATTGAGCATCACAAAGGAATTAATTTAATATTATTATAATTTAAATATGAAACCTAAGAGTTTTATATTAAAATGAGAAACATTAATTCTGTTTGGTATATTTTTCTAAATCACTTGAGAAAACTTTATCAATTGTGATTGATGTGGAAAATTAATCTTGCTTTAGTTAGATTTTCTCTAAAAAAAAAAAAAAAAAAAAACTAATGGTGAAGATTCTTCTAGACATAAATAAACATTTAAATTTTCTGTATGAATCAACAGTTATTCATATAAACTGTTATTTAAAAGGCCTAAAACATTAATAATAAAGTAGAGTTGTTGCTGATAAATAAATTCACCTCTGTAGTTGCTGATAGTGTTTTACACAACTTGTTATCTCTTGTTTTACATAAAATTCATATATTTTTTCCTGCTTCAATGAATCTTTATTCTCTTCTGACAATTTGCGACATCTCTGTTCAATGCTCAAGATAGCTATTCCTATCAGTTGGGCTTGGTATCCTATTGAAACATATGCCGTTGTCAAATAGAAACAGGTGTTACCAAATGTGAAATATGATATATACATTGACGTGAACTGGAACAAGTAAGTCAAGGCGAACCCCCACCAAGTCCCAAGATCCAGGGGTGTCCAGCAGGGGTACATCAGATTGTTCATTGGGTCTTTGGATTTACCCCAGATATGACACTTTATAAAAGGTACCAAGTTCATCAAGCAAGCAAAATACATACCTGCAATGAGTAATCATATCTTTAGAAAAATCTGCAAAATAAACAACAATTAAACGTTTCATGAATGTTACTTTATTGGTAATTTAAATTCAATCATTAATTTAGAAAATAAAATCCATGATAATTTAGTTATTAATTAAATCATGGAAGAAATAAGTTATAACCTAACATATGTTTTCAGAAAACGGGTTGTTTAATGATAGTTCGAACAACCTAAGAATGACTATTCCCCAATGCAAGTTTTTTTTATTAACTTCGATTCACTCTTCTTACCACAATTATAAACAACCAAATCTATCCCTCCTAAAGTGGAGGTGATAGCCGAACTCTCGCGGCGTGTGTCTTGTGGATTGGATTTCCACCTGGGTCGGGTTAACATTTATTTCTTGACCGTCCCGGAAAATGAATCTTGTTACTCCCGCTCGAGAGACGGCAACCTGGAAGTAGAGTTAGGTTGATGGCAAAAAGAACCATAAGGCTCAATGTCCGGACTAGTTCCCCCCGCTAGTACCAATACCAGAACTTCAACTAAAAAAAAATGACACTAATGGTCCAAGATGTTGAGTATCCATTAATAACAAAACACATTCTAAATCCTTAGGCACTTTACTTTGTATCATTTTTCAAGCTATATGTTTTCCAATATACCAATTTGTGCAATGTTCCCAAATATTTAAAATGTTTCCGTTCTTTATAAAGAATTTCATGAATTCTATAATTTATAAAATGTTTCCATAGGAATTCTCCTGTCCAAATCGCTCGTTTTAAAAAAATATCCAACATATTTTCATATAAAAAGAAGATCGAGCAGGTGAAGCACTACAGATATCTTGGTGCTCTCTTATATGTACGCGGCTGGAAGCGGAGTTTCGTCTCTGTGCCGTTCCTTAGAAACACGTGGCTGAAGTCCTTTAAATTCCGGTGGATGAAGGTTTTCGTCCTGCTGCTGCGGTGTGGTGCCAGTCGGAGATCCTACATCGTGTATCGGAGGGTAATGGGCGTCACACAGTGGTGCAAAACACCTTATTTTCGGAAAAAAAAAAACTCCACCCACCTTTAACATACGATTTTAAAGCTCAAATAAGAGTCACTTTATATGTATTTTCTCATTGAAGCAAAAATTAAAACTACAGCTTTACGCGTTTTTGTTATTATGACAGTATTTTGTGTTAAATTTTCAACAATTCTGAATGAAAATAAATTTAATAATTCAAGTCATTATTATCAGGCGGAAATTTGGAGATTAGAAGGACATAAATAAAAATTTACTTAATAGATGTTTAAATATATACATTTATAATAATTACATAATGTGAAACTAAAGGTTTAAGCATATATATATATATATATATATATATATATATTAATCGACATTCTCCGTTGAAGAAATATGCTTACTTTGAAATTGCTAACAATTTTTAATGTTGTGTTTTATGATGTTTTCCACTCATTATCCTCTGAATATTATTATATAAAAAATTCGATTTGAGCTCTATCGGGAATGGTGGTTTTATTTTTCTAATTCTTTTTATTATTTATTTATTTTAATTTTTTCAAATTTATTAAATGTTAGACAAGCTGGATTTAGGACAAATACGATTGGGTATAGTGGGTATTTTACGTTCCCCGATTATTTTAAAATCCAAACATTTAAATTAAAATGTATTATCTTATTTTACTGAAAGGCGCCCTAGCCAGTTTCTATTCCGAGGGCTAGCCTAGGTCGCCTTCTCTTTAACCCAATCATGGTAAAAGCATAACCGCCTTGTGCTTTTACTTCTCGAGGACCTCCGATTCCTGCTAGACGATCTGCTCTCCAGCTAACTAGTCCTAGCTCCTATTTGTGCTTTCAGAGCGGCCACTTCTCCATTTAAGCGATCTGTTGCTGCTCCTAGATCGCCTCTTCCCGAATCTGGCACTCGCCATTATTAAGATTACATAGAGGCAGCTATATCTCGGATATTTTGTCGGCTATGTTGGCCAGTTTCGAGGCGGCTGCGTGGTCTGTCACCTCCAGAGACCTTATATCCAGCCAACTGCAACATCTCTCAGAGGAAATGAGACAGTCGCTGATCCATCAACTTCTGCTCCTCTAAAAGCTTCTTTATTCGGGTTTCTTTATTTGACAGTCCGAAGCTTCTTTATTTGACTGCCCGAAGCTCGATCATACCCCATCTTTTAACCTTTTGTAGGGCTAGTTGGTAGGTGGATTGCGGGTTAGCAGCCTGCTTCAGTGTTCCAAAAAAAACCTGGGCGATGATTAGCTGATATTCAGTCTTAGAGTTGGTAATCTTAAAGTAGCTGAATACCGCCTCCAACTGAACAAACTGTCGAGGTAGGTAAATAGAGTGAACAGAAGACCACGACAGAGCGTGTTCATTTAAGATAAAGTGACCCAATGGATGAGGAAGAGGCTAAGATATCACGACCTTAAGTGTCAGGAGTATGAGCACTCAAATCACACTCTGTCTGCGAGCTAAGACATCGAAGGATGGACACCACATGACATGGGATTGCCCTCCAGACTTTGCGGGAGGAAGAAATATTAACGGAGGGAAGAGCCTCCAGACTTAATATGTAGGATTAAAAGCGGGCATATGAGCATCCAGACGTTTTATGGAGAAAATTATAGGAGATTAGAACATTAAGTGAATTAAAATTCGGATTGATATAGAATCAAAAAGAGTATATAAAATATGTTCATCAATCTGTACCTGAATCTGCAGATCTTTTACTCTCCGGAGGAAGGAGTTTCAAGATCTAAATTAGTAGCTCGAGGGTATCTGATATATATATTATCATATTGGCTAGATAGAGTCGTTTAAGTTACTGTTATTTAAAAGCTTTGATTAGTATATCTAATTACCATAAAACTTTATTATTAAAAAGTATTCACAAAGAATATATATTTACAATTAATAACTGCATTTTTTTTACATAACAATAAGAAATAAAAATACAACTTCAAAGTACAATGAATGAAGCGCACTATGGCGAAACCAGCTAGCGGCAAAGTGAACTAAATGGCCGTTATAGGTGTGGCGGGTAGATGAATTAATTGTCCGCTACAGAACAATAGGTTCGGTTTCTCTCTATAAAACGTGATAAGCTTCACTACTTTTGTGATAATGGAGTAAATAAAAAATAAATGAATCTTCCTCCAAATGCTTTCCTTTATTACCAAATCTTTAATCCAAATTACAAACTCCTAAGCATAAAATCAAAGTCATAGCCTTGAAAATATCAGTAGAGAAAAAATATGGACGAAACCAAACAAAACTACCGGTGGTGAGGTATTATTACTAAAGGATTTGCCACTGAATAATATGAGAAATTCTGATACATAATAATAATAGAATAGAATAGAATAGAATAGAAAAATAATTTTACTCTGGGACGAAGTCCCTTCAGAATAACAAAAAAGTACAGAAATTAAAATTTTACATCTGGCCAGATAAAAACAAACATAACAAATTAAGATAATGATAGGTCATTAAAGAAAAGAAAAGAAAAAAATATTGGTTATACATACTATATACAAAATAAAATAAAAAAATCTATATAAAAAACTCTTGAAACCATACTAAGATACTTAAAACTATGTACAATGTTAAAATATAAATAAACCCTTTTAGAAAAAATAAAAAATACAGAAAAAATAAATGTATATTCTTCTTAACAGTAAAATCTGTTTCTGTTGAAAAGAAAAAAAAAAAAAAGAGAAAAAGAAAGTCGAATCTATAATAAGTATTCAGGTCATGAGCTATATGTGAATATGGTCTTATAGATAATGTGTAATTTTACATAAAAGATTAGCTGGTGCCTGACTGTTTTTGGGACAGGAATTGGAATAGGAGGGTTTTGAATGTAGATAAGGATGAAGAATGTCGAATTTTGATAGGAAGGGAATTCCAGAAACTAACAGAACGTGCAATAAAGGAGTTTTGGAACGAGGCAGATCTGTGAGAAGGAATGTAAAGGTCGGAAGGTCGAGATCTTGTGGAGAGGGAGTGGACTGAGGACTTGAATTGGAGAAGGTTGTAGGCGTAGGAAGGACGATGATTGTTGATGATATGATAGAGGAATGTACCTAGGAAATATTGTCTTCGAATGGAGGGGAAGAGCCACTCTAACTCAGTGTAATGGTGAGAGACATGGTAGTATCTCGGGGCACCAATTACAAATCTCACGCAACTGTTCATTATTCTTTTCAGTCTGTCGCGGAGCTCCACCGAGAGTCCATCATACACCACACAGCAGTAGTCAAAGTGGGGGAAGATGAGAGAGGAAACGAGGAGTCTGCGCGTATGTTGAGGTAGGAGATGGCGGAAGCAATGGAATAGTTTGAGGGTAGAGACTGTCCGTCGGGAGATGTGAGAAATATGGTGACTCCAGGAGAGGGTTTGATCAATAAATAGTCCTAAATTTTTTACAGAGGAGTAGAAGGAGATTGGCTGGTCACCAAGGTTTAGTATGGGAAAGTCCGTATAGGATCTAAGGAGGGGCTTGGAACCAATGACAATGGCCTGAGTTTTTGAAGCATTTAACCTTAATCCGTTTAATTTTGCCCAGGCACAGATTCGATCTAGGTCTGCTTGGATCTTAGTAAATGCTACCAATAGCTCAGGGGGAGAAAAGGATAGGTATATTTGAGAATCGTCTGCATAAAGGTGGTGGGAACAATGGAGAATTGAGTCATGGAGGTCATTGATATAGGAACTAAAAAGGAGAGGAGATATGCTAGATCCTTGGGCAACTCCAGAGGATAAAGGCAGGTAGGCAGATAGTGGTTGATTAGGAATGGAGACTGCTTGGGTGCGTTGTGATAGGAAAAGATTGGAACCAAGAGATGGAGCTATTGGAGAAGGAGAGTGATTTTAGTTTGTTGAAAAGGATGGGATGGTTAATGGAATCAAAGGCTTTAGAGAAGTCAAGAAGTATAAGGACAGTTAGTTGTTTATTATCTATTGCAGTCTGAACATCATTAGTAATTTTGATTAAGGCGGATTGTGTGGAGTAGCCGGGACGGAAACCAGATTGGAGAGGATCGAGTTGGTTAGACTTTTCTAGGAAATTGGAAACTTGGGATTGCACCAATCTTTCTAGGGGTTTTGAGAGATTGGAAAGAATTGAGATTGGGCGAAAGTCTTCGGGAGAGGATGGATTAGGCTTTTTATTTAAAGGGAGTACAATGGCTTTTTTCCAAGAGGAAGGGAATATTGAGTTCTGTAGGGAGAAATTGTAAATGAAAAGGAGAACTGGGAGGATTTCGGGGAGACATAATTTTATCAATTTGACAGGAATGCCATCTGATCCTATGGAATTGGTGTGGGATTTCATTACTGCGGTTAGTAAGTCAGTCGGGGAAATGTAGGAGAAATAAAAGTCATCATCATTAAATGATGACTCAGGAGCAAAGTTGGAAGAGGAGGGAAGAGAAGAGGTAGAGGAGGCAGAAATAAAATGTGAATTTAAATCGTCAGGTGAAACGGAAAAGAACAGTGAGGAAGGGGATCTGGAAGGTTCACAGAGGGAAAGTTTGCGAAGGATTAGCCATTTAGATTTGGGATCTGGGGCAGATGACAGGGCTTCATGGAAGTAGGAAGCTTTAGCTCGCCGAATTCTTGTTTGTGTCAAATTGCGGAGCACCCTAAACGCTTGATAGTCATCTGTAAGCCTAGTACGTCTAAAGCGTCTGCGGGCAGCATCACGCCTCTTCTGCAGATCCTTGATTTCTTGACACATCCAAGGTGCAGGCCGGCGGCGAAAGGTTGAGGTTTTTATGGGAGCATGGGTGTTAAGGATATTGAGGAGATTGGAAGTCAGGATCTCAACCATGGAGTCGATGGAGGAGCAGGAATATATTTCGTTCAAGTCTAAGGTTTCAAGGTCAGGTAGTATTTTTTCACGGGTGAGAGTGTCTATCTGACGGAAAGTGAAGGTTCTCGGATGAATCAGAGGGGTTTGGATATTATATGTTATTTGGATCATGTCGTGAGACGATAAGAAGGATACTGGCAGTTGAGAAGAGGAGAGGAGATTTATTTCGGAGTCTATAATGAAGAAATCTAACCAAGTGTCGGCCTTGTGGGTGTGGTGAGTAGGATAAAAAGGAACAATAAAGAGATGGAGGGAAAAAAATAGGTTTTCTAGATAGGTTTTGTCTTTGGAATTAGAAAGGAAATTGGTATTGAGGTCACCGGCGATGATTATTCTAGGATAGAGGGGAACAAAGTTGAGTAGGGTTGATTCTAAGGACGGATCAAATGGAACAAGGGGAGGACGGTAGATCACTATGTAAAGGAGAGGGGAATTATTACAGGTAATTTCTACTAGAAGGCACTCCACTTGTGGATGTTCGGAGGGTGGGGAGTAATCAAGGATTCGGGACTTCAGGCTATCGTGGACAAATATGGCCACCCCACCACCAGTCGGGCTGACCCGGTCGTGGCGGATGAGGGTGTAATTAGGTAAGGAGACAGATGAGGACGGAATATAGGGTTTGAGCCAGGTTTCTGAGATTGCGATGATGTGAAAAAAGTTTTGAGAAAAGTACTGCAGAAATTCATCATAATGGGCGGGAAGGGATTGCGAGTTAACGTGGCAGGTGGTTAGGATGCTAGACATGGGGAGGATTTGATGGGAAACAGTCAGAAATTAGCATAGAGGAAATGAGGCATATATCATATTCTGAAAAAAAATTGTGAAAAGTACTGATAAGCAAAATAAAAGTGAATAATGAAAAAATAAGTGAGAAATAAGAGTAAGAAAATAAACAAATTAGTAAACTGGAGCTATGAGAAATTTTAACCAAAATCTTCAATGTTATTTGGGCACCAATGAAGACAAAAAATACTTTGAAGAACGAGAAGAAGAGATGAAACCTGTGCAGTCAGGCGAAAACTTCTAGATCCGATGCCTGATTAATCAAGATTACTTGATGGCCGTCTTCTTTTCGGCAACGCACAATGCCGGCAGAGAACCATACGTATCTTATCTTCCCGGCAGCTCTCTTCTGCCGGGCTAGCCAGTAGAGGTGCCTGTTTGTTGGGGTCATCTCCTCGCCGAGATAAATTCGGTGGCAGTCGTTTTCCTGCCACCCGATATCACGCGTCGAGAAATCCCTCTTCACTTTCCTTTTCGCTATCAGGTCGTCCCTCACTGACTGCCTGACGAAATGTGCTATTACCGGCGGCGGTCGCGGGTCATCCTTCTTGCTTCTGCGGCGCTGCACGACATCCACATCCTCCACTCCGAGCTTGATGCCCAGCCCCGCGGCTATACTGGTCACCAGAGCCGCGGGCGTCTCGCCTGCTCGCACTGGGATCCCACAGATCTCCAGCGATCTACATAATTGACCCTGTTCTGTTTTGTTCAGGCGGATCTCTAAATCGCCCACTCGAGCTTTGAGGGCTTTATTTTCCAAAATGATCTCCTCAAAATATTTGGCTTGGCCCTCGAGATGTTTTTCTAATTTAGATAACCTCTCATTCAGTTCAAAGCTGAGGTCTCCATATTTATCGAGGGCTGTCTTCATATCCCTTATTTCCTCACTAACATGACTATCCAGTCTATTAACTGCTGCTAATATTTCTGATACAGGCGGTTCATTGTTTAAATTTAGTTTCTTTGTTTGATCGCAATTCAGGCACATCCATGTTTTTTTTTTGTGCTTCTCTGAGCTTCTATCTCTTTGTCTGTGAGATTAAAACACTTGCCGTGATAAATAACTTTGCACTTGGTACAACATAAATTGTATTTATCTTCACGGGCAATAGCGTTATTACAAATCGTGCACTGGACCATTTTTAATAATAAAAAATAACTTACAGTTAATGTCAAGTGAAGTTGATGTTGTGATCCGCCAAGCAAACAACTGCTAATACTAATAGGATTATTAGCTTAACACTCACAAGGCTCGTAGCACTCTCACTATATTTTCTTTACGTTGAGTAGCGTGAAAATACGTAAATATAAGAAGTTTTAAAGATTACGTTCGATAGTATGACACTGTTAAGAAAAGAAACCACGAAAGAAAAAAACAAAATTGGACTCAATATATGAAATTGAAAGAAAGCGCTCCGTAGATGTTTATTCACTGCCGTCTCTGGCCAGACTGTAATAATAAAAATAATTAATGAAAAAACATATTTTAGTTAAACAACGCAAGTTTTAATCAAATGAACGCAGCAGTGACAAATTCATTTTACATAACTTCTTTATTCATGCCAGCTGTGTGAACCTGACCTGCCTCAACATCACTCCACTACGCAGTCGTTACAAAGATATTAAGGAACGAATAAAGTCAGCAGGACAAGACTTTGAATTACTTAAAAGAGATTTCCTGTTGCTTGAGGTTCCTGTACTTGAAGACTTAATCATATACAATACCATAATACATATACCAGCGATTCAAGGGTCGTCACTGTCAAACATAAAAGCCTACCCCAGTTCATGGAGGTATGCTACTTAATAGAACTTGATGACTTTATGACCAACAGGCGTTGACGACGCTACGGTTTTACACCTTAAAGCTCAAATAAACAAACAAACCACGATAGTGGCTAATCTGGATGGTAAGATCAGCCGAGGAGGTTATTGCAGAACATCAGGCATGTTTCAAAAATGTCTGGGGAATGAGCAGCAAGATCCTGGCATATGAGGCAAAAATAGAAGGAAAAAGACCGAGGAACAGATCTAGGAAAACCTGATCGGGAAGCTAATGAAGCCTACAAGAAGAGCAATATAGACTGGAGGCAGAGAAGAGAATTGGTGCAAGAAAGGGAGAATTGGATGAGGCCCCTCACTCTGTGGCAGAGAGTCTGGGTTAAGAAGAACTTAACCGAATAGTAAAAATCTTACATAATTTTTGTTGGTTGATGGTGTCAATATTAGTAGAATCCATAACTGACACTTACCTATATAATAATATTGTCCATACCAGGCCATCCAATCAGCGGCTTTTTTCTTCATTTCATTGGTCTCTTTTCCAAGAAAGGTATAAGACCACCAGCTGTCTATTTCCTTGCTTACCCATGCAAACGATTTCTTGTATGTGATGATCATAGTTCCAACAATGACCGAGACTGGGATGAATATTAGATTAATGAACAGTTGTACCCAATCCGTCTTTGTGTAGTTTACAATGGCTCCAGTAACCATCAAGCAAACCATAACATTTCCTACCGAGACAATCAGCGGAATCGGAATGGTCCACGGCGACTTAGATTTATATCGCCTCAGTCCTTGCAGAAAAAGTTGTGATGTCTCTTCCACGAGGCCGATATCATTCATTTGTTTCCTGCAATAAAGAATCTCTTGGTTATTAGCTGTGAGAGTTTGTGGTATAATACATAATATTAAAAAATGCCCAATGTTACACTGACATAATGAATTTAATCAATACCATCAGGTCGTTTTCGAGAAAATAGTAAAAATGTTTCATACGACTTTTTGTTTTTGAACTAGACCTGTCAAATACATACAGACACACGCACGCACACACCGACCATTTTGCGGGACTTGGTTATTTGGACTCAGGAGACCTCAAATATTCCATCGAAAACTGAGATTCGAAAATTTTCATGATCTCAGTACTGTATCATACTATATATTTCATATAAGTGAAAATACAATTCACTTTTCAATTAAAATAATAATTATAAAAGTGCCAGTTGTTTAGTTACTTGTATCAAGTTAATTTTTTTTTTTCTCATAACGGGGGTATGAGAGAGCTTAGATCCGCTAGTGGCAGGGCGTTCAGGAAGTTATAAAATAGTCACAAGTTTAGTGAACCAACAATCGTGTACTTTTTGAGTTATTCGCAAATAAAATTCTGAATTCATGTTTTTTTTTTTGTTATTTTTGTGGTCATAAAATAAAAGGGCTTTAAAGACAAGACTTTAGCCACGTTTCATTAAAATCCTTACAGACGTTTTAAAGAACTTTCGGAAATTAGCGACTTAGAACAAACTGACATTTCATTTTTATTTATATACACTGTTTCCAAACTTTTTCATTAATAACACTAAAGCTCGTCAAAAGTTAATTGATAAAAAAATAAAATCAGTTGAAAAACAGAGGAGAAAACTGAACTGTTTATAACAAAAATTCTGATAACTCAACATGGTTCCACCTATTCACGCGAACATTAACATGAATTTAAGGCCCTATAAAATGCACGAAAAGACACAAACCACACACAGTGGGGTCGATCAAGAAGGACAAAATTCATTGAGAAAATGTATCGATTGGAAAACATGTAATCACCACAAATAAAACATTTATAGACTTAATTAATTCAGTATGAATTTAATTTTTAAGACCATTAAAAGCTAAAACCACAATTCCAAAGAATCAATAAAAAATAACTATAATATTAATATTAAGAAAATCAGTAGTTTTCAAATTAGTTTAATATTTACTCAACCATATAATCAACATCATTAGAAAAGTTACTGTCTTGATGAAATCTCTCATAATTGCTTGCTAACTGCAATTTAAATTTCCCTTTTATTTCCTTCGTTTCTTTCCCCTCGTCTACACACTGTGTAGACTTGGGGAAAGAAACTGTGTAGTACACAGTTTATTTATTTCGAAGGTTTGATCATAGCCATTTTTAAAATTCTTTTGTACCAACATTACACTGAACTAAAATTAATCCAGTGAATAAAGTAGTTAACTGAACTATAAAAACAGTCTGGCTATTTGTGAACTGATGGGACTGAAGGTCTGTTCGCCAAAATCCCGAAGTATTTAAATTAACTTTGAGGGTTTCCTTGAGAAGATTTAAGGTCACCATATATTTATAGAAAGGATGTTATATTACATAAATAACATGTATAGGTTACATATATACATATATATGCTATATTACATATAACATCCTTATAGCATATAATGTATTTATTTATTTATAACAATGGGGGGCTCCTCATCTTCTTATGGGTCATTTTAGCCCTTACACAGTATTTATATTATATCAGATGAAATTTAACAAGAAATTTAAAGTAAAAAATATTCAAATTCCCAAAAAAGAGTCAGCAAAATTAAAATTTTGTTATATAGGTGCTTTATTTGAAGGAATGTAAACAATTGTTTTGCCTATTTGGTGGTCTTTTTCAAAATTTCAGTAATATCATTCTCCAATTAAACTTCAATCCGTTATGTCCAATAAGTCAAAATGTGCCTGACTGTTAAATTGACCCCGCAGCAGAGACACTGAGGGGGTGTCCCCTTTGTCATTAGGTACTCATGAGTTAGCCGTGAGTGGCCGATTCGGAGCCTTGTCAGGATTATTTCTTCTCTTCTGTTCAACTGGAGGTCCGCTCGATACATATAGCATATATACATATGTGCTATATGTACATATGCCATTATAACATCCTTATTTCTCATATTTAGAAAGTGGTTTTGTCCTGCTAGATCGGCGATCACAGCGACCCCACTGTGAGACGCCCGCGAATAAATTAAGCTTAAAAATAAAATAAATGTTATGGATCTTCCTTATTTATTCATCATACAGGTTTAAAATCTGAAAATTATTTATCTAGTTTTGAAGAGCTATAATTTAGATTCCCAACGGTTGTAGTAATGTTGACTTAGGAGAAAATCCTGAGGATTTATGGATATTACAGAATTTATATTTCTCGATTTCAAAACAAGTTACTATTTAAGACTTTTAAGAACGAATCTGTTTCATTTTTTCATGATAATAATTTACTTGGTCTACTTCACGGAAAGCATATTTGGGTTTTTGTAATATATTATTGTTTTTCTTATTTTACACATAAATACAAACACAAAAAACTAATCGGTTGGTGCATAATAACTTAACATTCCATACAGATCGAAGCCAGAAAACAGTAATTTAAAATAATAATACAATTTTATAAAATGTTGTTTTTCTCGATTCCTAGAACCCTCGGTCATGAATCTAGTATTTTTCGACCTCGTATCACAAAAAAAATGTCATTGAAATCTGTGATTCCACGTCCGTAACATCACCTTTCTTAGTCATATTCCTACAATCGAATCTTTCCCTCATTAATAAAAAGAACAAGGAATAGAAACGATTAAGGGATAAAAAAATATATAACAATCTGGCACACACTTAGCCTGTTTTGTAGTGTCCATTCTAAGCGCCTTTTGGTCTTACTCTCCACTAGACATTTCAATATATGTCAAGACTGCTTGGATGTTCCTTGTAATTACTCATTTAATATGTAAGAAGCTGTTGGTTCTAACCACTGATTACCAAGCTCTAATTAAACTCACCTGTACAAGTAAATTAGGTCTGTCATTATTGGCTGTGTACTTACATCGATCTTTATCCGTACCTCAAGATAACTACAGAGATACAATTGAAGTCTATTTATTCCGTTTTAATTTTAAAACTGAAAAATACTAAATTGTTAATGTTCCGGTTTTTTAGAATCCTTTTATTAATTGATCTTACTGGGAGTTTACAGTATATATATATATATATCGATTTTTCACTTTTATTTCTTTTTAAAATTTATTTTACTCCTCCTAACAACTTTTCACTTTTTGTTTCTTAAATCATATTTTGTTCTCTCAAAGCTCATAATGCCAGATGAACTTATGATATTATTTTTAATTAATGAACACTTTTTTTTATCCAAGATTTTGGCTCAAAATTCGATGCTTCCACGTGATAATAACATGATTTTTTTCCCTTCCTAAAATTTACTTTTTAATTTTCTGTTTGACGGAGAAAATCTTATCGGATATCTCTTTCACTTAAAAAAAAAATGTATATCAAAAATGTTCTTCAAAACTCCTCATAATTGGTTTAATATCAGTTTCCACCAATTTTTAAGCTAAATAGATATCAGATAAAAATATTTCCACAAAACTCACATAATATTTATTATATATATGTATACATATAAATACATTGGTGTTGCGTATATAGGTATAGGTATTAATTATAATTAAACTTCTTTCAATTCTATAATTGAAAATATGTGATTTCAAAATGTTTACTTAAAACTTAAGGATTATAAGTGTAAATTTTACTGATATATTTTAGTCATTGGTATATTTTATGATATGATTAGATTTTTAAAAATAATAAACCAAAAAATATAAGAAACTAAAGTCATTTAAACGAAAACGAACGATACCTAAAAGCCACAATTAGTTGATTTCGTAATCATTTACAAAGATGAATGGGTAGTATTATTGTTTAGAAAAAACATTTAGACTAACGATTAAAAACAGTTTTATAAAATATTTCGTTTTAAATTATTAAAAAATCAATTCATATTATTAGTTATATATTTAGATATCGGTAAGCTCGGGCTGAAGCCCCCCTCCAAAAAAAATGGTAAAATATAACTATGTTTTACAGAAAAAAAAAATTAAAAATATCTCTTAAAGTATTCTTGTTCGTTTAATTACATTTAATAGGACTTCAAGAACCACTTAAACATCATTTCATACAGGTAGTTAATTTCTATCTTTTTTTTTTCAAATTAATTATCGTTAAATATATGAAAAAAAATCTTTGGGGCTGAAGCCCCACCTTAGACCCATCCCCCAAATTAAATCCTGGATCCGCTAGTGCCCAGAATGATGCAATTCTTAACACAATAAAGACATATTCGATTAGCATTGTCTTTTTCTCCGAATCCGTATTAATACTTCAGTAATGTATGCAGTTTAAAACAATAATGAATGGCATTGGAGCGGGTGAACACGTAAGGAAAATATTTAATGATAGGTGATGGTAAAATGGAGGTAACCTGCTATTTCCCCTGCATATAAAATGTAACAGCAAAAAGATCGTTGAAGTCGATAGATTACTTATACTTTTCTATTTTTTTTTTTTTTTTTTTTTTTGCTCTTCAATATTAGTTCTAACATGGTTAGTGCAGAACTCTAATATATGAAGTAATATTATGTTTTAAACCTCAATCTGATGTATTTGATCTGAAGTCTGTCATTTAATAATCGTGAAGAAATCGCTGACTGAATAATGTGTTTAGGAAGTTAATTTGGCGATTGCATTTTTTTTTATTTCACCACTTCTACAAAACTTG